ATATATATATATATATATATATATATATATATATATAGCATATATATGATATATATATCATTAAGATCTCGGTAACTATTGCGAATCTAGCACAATGGTATAAAACTTTTTGACTCAGTTTTACTCCTATTTGTTCACGAGAAATGTTACACCAATTCTGGGACACCCTGTATATATATATGTATATGACACAGGGTGTCCCAGAATTGGTGTAACATTTCTCGTAAACAAATAGGAGTAAAACTGAGTCAAAAAGTTTTATACCATTGTGCTAGATTCGCAATAGTTACCGAGATCTTAATTAACAAAGATCAGCGAATAAGCATGCATCGGGCTGTCTTACTCGCTTAAGACAGCTCAGTGCGCTTCGCGCGCTTACGGTGTTACCCGTAGGAGCATATGGGAGGAGCTAATATAACAGCATATACTATGACATATACATATTAAAATGTAATTGTGCGAAGCGCGCCGGGCTGTCCTACGCGCGTAAGACAGCCCGATGCACGCTTATTCGCAAATCTTTGTTAATTAAGATTCGGTAACTATTGTGAATCTAGCAAAATGGTATAGGACTTATCGACTCAGTTTTATTTCTTCTACCTGTCCACGAGAGATGTTACACCAATTCTGGGACATCCTGTATATATATATAAAACCGTAAACTGTTTTTGGGCCGCAACGGGATATGTCAATATTCGTCTATTGACCACTCCTATATGTATGCAAAATTCCATCAAAATCAGAATGTTCGCGAGATTCCCTTGTAAGTGTAAATAGTGAATTTATAAAAAAATTACGTAAAATTTAAAAGAAATTACTAAAAGTAAAGAAAGTAATAAAAAATTGACTCGAAGTATAAGTTGAATAAACTTTATCATCAATAAAAATATACAATGACAATGACAATGTGTATAACTTACCAGATCAGTCAACTAAATCTTATCTTAAATATTAGTACAGATCAGTTCCATGGTTTTGCATAGTATGTTAACTATGTAATATTTTATGTTCTGTTCTAGCATCTCTGTATGGAAAAATAAAAAGAGTAAGATGGACAGAAGACGAGAAGCAAGCAGTGCTACAAGCGTTTGCGCGACACGTTGAAAATCATATATTACCGTCTTTGCACGAAATTCAGGAGGTAAAGAAGAGATATGTTTCTTTTGCAAAAGAAACAACGACCATTATAATCCACACGATTGTATATAAATCATATGTTGCACTAGTTTGAAAACAACTCTCTATATGTTATACAAAAATGCTTGTTTTAAAGACATATACGACGTAAGATCTTCTTTCACTTTGTCATTGGAGATCAGAAAAGTAAAATCGATTAAACATCGAGTAAACATTTCAGCTAAATTACTTCTATAAATGAAAAAGTTATATGCGGTATGATTGCGCGGAGGACAACATGATATTTTATTGTTTTTAACACTTTTTTATCCGAAGTTTTTATTTTTTTGATGAAACTAAAATATATATATATATATAATAGCATATAATGTTTTATAAATACAATAACATGTAATTTTTTATAAATATAATAACATTTGATATTTGATGCTTTCGTGATGTGTATATTAACATCCGAAGATAGATATTTTCCTAAAAAACATCTTCGAATATAATATTTATTTTACCTGTTGTTACATATTTTATATCGTCACTTTTATATAATTGTCACATACGGGATTTTCAGTCTATTGCATAGTGACACTTAGAAAGTCATGTTCTTTATGGTCACCAACATTAAAAAAAGACAAATATTCATAAAAAAGATAAAAATATGAAATTGAAAGAATTCCTTAACTAGGGAAAAGTCTTTAAAGTACTCTCTAAAATTTGCATTTTGAAGTTACGGGATTATACGTAAAAAGTGACGATATGAAACACATTATATGAGATAAACTAATTTTACTATAAGATAAAGTAATTTTTTTTTTATTATAAGATAAAGAGACTTATTAATGTTTCTCTCGAAATATTAGGTTGTTGCATAATTTTTGTTGTATTTTTTATTATTATTCTCAACAAAGTTCACAATTGCCATTAAACTAAGTCAAGCAGAACTTTTGTTAATTTCTTTGTTTATTATTGGTTATTGTGTTTGTAATTTTACATGGTTTTAAAATTTGTGGCCATTTGTCTTAGAACTCTGCGCGCAGAAAAATGGAAGTCGATAAACTCTACTTGAAACACTGCATGCTATACAAATTTCAGAAGGGTAATAATGCAACTGTTGCTACAAAATCTTTATGTAAAACATCGGGACAAAATATTGTTAATGTTCGGACGGTTCAAAGGTGGTTCGCGAAATTCTGTAGTGAAGAATTTCAATTTAATAGATGATTGCGCATACGACGACATTTTGACTTTAATTATTTACTATGTTTATACGTTTAATCGGATTTATTGATTACATCCATAGTTATAAGTGGCCGCTTACACTTATTCCATTTTTCAAAAAAATAGCTGTGATTGGCCAGTTTCATAAGACTATAGATATTGGATTTGTATCCGTTATTAAACCCGATTAAACTTGTGTATGCTTCTTCGTGAAATTTTAATAATAGTAGGGAAATGGCCGTACGAGAAATAAACCAGATCTTGGGGTTAATAATTTTCTTTATTTTTTATTTTGAACAAACGTTTCGACCCGTGTTTTGGGTCTTCTTCAGTGTGCTACATATTTTACAATTTTTCGAAATATTAAACGATATAATATTGATAACTTATAACATGAACTCGATTGTGTAGTTATTTGAGTAAAAACTTACAGTTTGATGCGTGGATATGGGAAGAACTCAGTCCATCGGTTTTTATCACCGCCAAACAACTACGACATCGAAGTCTCGCACAAGAGGCACGAAACACTTACTTGATATGAACACATCTGCGAGACGGCCGACAGACTGAGTTACATCCCTCACAACATTACTATTCTGATTTCTGAATAACATTCCCCCACCCTATCTTTCGCATATCATACTTAAACATCGCAGAAATGCCTATGTCGCTTTGTACAATTCCAAAAACGAGAAATAAGGTTTTAATTTTTCCGTGTCCGACATAACATTAATTGAATGTTCTTGTAGTTTAATATGAATTATTTCGGACACGGATCTTTTATAAAATAATTTTTCCGAATCTAAAATTTTGGTATTTTGCCAATTAAATATATGATCGATATCTATTCGATGTTTTTTACTCAAATAACTACACAATCGAGTTCATGTTATAAGTTATCAATATTATATCGTTTAATATTTCGAAAAATTGTAAAATATGTAGCACACTGAAGAAGACCCAAAACACGGGTCGAAACGTTTGTTCAAAATAAAAAATAAAGATTATCAACTCTAAGATCTGGTTTATTTCTCGTACGGCCATTTCCCTATCATTATTAAACCCGATTAATGATAACATGAAACAATTTCATTAAAATTTAGATAAATAAATTTTAGACTTTAGGAAAAATCAAACATAACTTTATGAAATTAAGTTATACAATAAGTGTGACAAAAACTCAAAAACTATAATTATGTATTATTAGATTGATAAAACAGGACGGTTCAGCATTCTCTTTTACTTTGGCTATATCTAAAAGCGTTGAAAAAGCACGTAATGTCTTGAGATAAAGGATGCGTTCCGATATTTATTATTTACTATTGGTAAAACTGCAGAAAAGGGGAGCAGCTTCCGATGACCTTGAGCTTAGGATATATTGTCAAGGTCGTGGCCCCGAGTAAGGTTCCGCAGGTTTTATCCGGCGGTCATTGTTTGTTTACAAGTTATTATAAAAAAATGTTTTACAAATTATCCCTTATTTTTCGACATCATGTACATTGAAACAGTAAACATGTTGTTCCTATTAGAGCATTACATACCTACGTACGACCTTGACATATTATATCAACATACGTCTTTGGTTTGATTTTCTCATTGACAACATGTATAGCTTGCCAGTTCGTGTCGAACCTTATGTAGAATTTTGCTAAGCATGGAAAGTGTATGCGTGGAAGAAGTGTGTTCCGCCCCCCCTGCGGGGGGGCTCCACTATCCAAAAACTAGACACATAGGTTTGGGTTGAACCTCGTTTTGCGTGAGAAATGCATGCGTGGATGCAATGAAACTGCGATTACGTCGTTATATGATTTGTTTTGATTTCTTCGTTGCGATACAAGTATATACCTATTATTTTCACGAGGGGAGAGCAGGGAGGAGGGGCGAAGCCCCTCCACCTGCGGGGGGGCGCAGCCCCCCTCTGCCTACACCCTTACAACATAAAAAAAATGTACATGATGTCGGGAAAACAAATTTCTTTATGAAACTTTTTTTGTTCATAACTTTTTTATAAACAATGACCACCGGATAAAACCTGCGGAACCTTACTCGGGGCCACGACATTGACAATATATCCTAAGCTCAAAGTCATCGGAAACTGCTCCCCTTTTCTGCAGTTTTACCTTACTATTTGTAAATATATTATTTACAGTACTAAAAATCTATAATATATGTTATGTGATTATTTTTTAGTATTGACTATAAATAACGGAACACAATCAGTATAAAAACTGAAAAGTAATATTTTTTTTATTTATAAATCAGTGGAATTTGTCTTTATTATAAATTTTGTCACGTTGCATAAAATTGTAACAATAAATTACGATCAGTTAATATAACTTTACATATTCTACTGAGTTTTTTATTAGACTTATTGATGTATATCAATGACTAACATACTCTATAAATATAATAATAACTTGCTTCATATATAACAGTAACATTTGTACTTTTATAACTCTATTACAAATGATCATACATATAGGATGTTTGGTAATAGCCGTATTATCGCTCGTGAATATCTTATTGAATTACCGCATGAAAAAGTTCTGTACCACTTTGTAAGATTCACAATAATTGACTAATTATTAATTACTAAGGATACGCAAAAGAGTGTGCAAACCACATGCAAAAGACAGCTCAGCGTTTCGTGTCCTTATGTTTGCTACACGCGCAGCAACTCAATAGAAAGAGTTAGAGAATGTTTGAACCGTCCTGTTTCACCAACCTAATAATCTTCTTGAAGAGCCGTTTTCTAAGTTGTGCAATAAGTGCAATAAAAACTGAAAAACTATAATTGTATTATTAGCTTGATAAAATAGAACGGTTTAGCAGTCTCTTAACATACACAGCATATAACATGCATATTATGCTTTTGCATTTAGTCATTTTTAATTATTGACTTTTGTATAATATATATTACATATAATATATATTATATAATATATATTACTATTATTATTATAAAATAAACTATAAAATATAAAAACAACTTTGAGTAAAAATATAAAATAATCTACCTAATTGGCTATATACAATTTTATTATTTTGTTATATATTGTCTTGTATACATTACAATCGTTTTGCACAGTTTCTTGTAATTCTGTTAAAAAAGCAATGTGAAATTGAAATTGAAAGATAATATTAGTAAAAGAAGTTTTATTTGTCCTATTCTTTTTAAAGAATTTTTTGGCCAAAATATGGGTGGTAATATCAAGTCTTCTCTTTCTTCTGTCCGATGCGATACCTTTCTCTTGCTCTAATACTTCTATTATCTTATCTTTCTCCATGATATGAATCAAAAATTCATAATACTAGAAATAATCATATTAAACAACATTTGTTATATTTGTTAATATTTATTAATGATATATTTTTAACGTTAACAGATATATGAAGAAAGATAAAGCTTATTTAAACAATTATAAAAAATATTAAAAGTGATTCAAATAAAAATTTAAAAAACGATGAAGAGAGAATAAGAACGAAGAATAAGTATTAAAAATATATTAAAATAATATATATGCACACATCGCTGATTAAATGCACAAATGTATAAAACTTGTTCGTTAATTTTGTTTAAAAAATTTTTTCTTTTCTCATTTAAGGGCTAAAGATCCTATCATAGGCTGCTTTCCTTTTAAGAGACACAGTCGACACAAGTCGACACAAAAGTCATTCTGTCTTTGTTCAGTATTCAGTGAGAAACAAAGACAGAATGACTCTTGTGTCGACTTGTGTCGACTGTGTCTCCTAAAAGGAAAGCAGCCATAGACGATATGATTTTCTGTGCTGCATGTTTTAGATATTAAAAACATTGATATTTTTAATACGATTATTATTTATTGTCTATATTTCTTAGATACAAATTCATCTCATAACATTTTATGAACGTGCGTAAGTCGTTAAACCTTAAGAGGATCCTAAACTGAATCTATTTTATCGACTAAATTTATGGCTTATGGCGTCAGATTGTAGTACAGTCGAACCTCGATAACTCGAATTTCAAGGGAAGAACTCAAATCTTCGAGTTGTAAGGGTTTCGACTTATCGAAGTTCTTTTTTCCTTTCCGCAGAGCGGAAGGAAATGAACCACGAAGTAAGAGTAAGGAGATCGAACTCCGTGATACAAAAGTGGTCCCGATTTTTACGGTTCATTGGGAGGGAATCCGCTCAAGGGAATAGGTTTTTACGGTTGGAAGCCATTTGCAAAACTGTGCATGTACACAACTAACACATGTACACGTTTAGTGTATGTAATCTATCTTGTTACATATACGGATTCCCTTTCAATGAACCGTAAAAATCGGGACCACTTTTTCCATTCGCGCGCTATCAAGTTCGATCTCCTTACTCTTACTTCGTGGAATAAACAAAATTTTCGTCTTATAGAGATTTTCGAGTTAGAGAGGTTCGAGGTTTGACTGTATTAAGCGAATATTAATACGATCTGACGCCAAAAGCTGTAAACTCAGTCGGTAAAACGACGGAGTTCGACCGTTCGTCAGTTTAGGATTCCCTTAATATAAAATTACATATAAGATATTTTTCAAGTATTAACACATATTTTAATAAATAAAAAGGAATTTAATCATTATTTTAATGTTTTTTTCAAATGTTTTCGGAAATGTTTTTCAAAAAGTTTTAAGAACATTTTTAAAACTATTTGCTGATTGGGCAATAGCTGGTTTTCTTTTAAATTCTGAATGATATCTTTGAATGTGTTAATTTTTGATAGTAAAAGTTCATTTTTACGTCGTAGTTGTAGTTTTTCTTTTCGCAATCCTTTCATGCTTAAGAGATATTTTTTCCAACTGTTTTCGTCTTTGAAATCTTCTTTCCTAAAAATGCCGAACTTTTTTAAGCACAAGTATTGTTTAACTCTGGATTCATCTTCAAAGTCACTTTTCCTGAAAAATAACATTTATATAAAAGTGATAATTAAACTTAATTGTTTTAAAGAAACTTTCAGGCTCTCTAAATTCTAATAAAAAAATTACAGAATAAAGTCATACGCTTTTGCAGAATATTATACAGAAATATATAGTATATATATATATGTATACACATATGTATATGTATTCACGTGTAAATTATTACACGTGAAATTTTTGAATTGAAAATACAATTCTTAAATTCAAAGAGGATGCTATTTTTGCATCACATATATAATAGACTCTGAATACCCCCCTAACTAATTTTTAAAATATTGCGAAAAAAACTCCTCAGCCAGGAGTCGAACCTGGAATCTCCGGCTTTCCGGGCCGTCGCCTTCCCTGTTAGGCCACTGAGGCACTTGAAGCTCGTCTCGTAATTTTCTTAATTGTTTTAGAATAAAGCTAATACCTATATGTTTAATGCTCGTTATATGTTTAAATAAAAAGATAGGGAGAAGGCAATAACGAGCTAACACCTGATGTTCGGATAACACCTGAATAAAATTCTTTAATTCGAGGATTTTAAAAACATGTTAACAAACGTTTCGACTATGGGATCTTCTTCAGTGTTTCAATAAAAAAATTACAAAGAAAATATGGTCTATTCGAGACGATCATGAATATGGATGGAAGAATGTATATCCATGTATGTATATGTTTGAGCATGTGTATGTGTGCTCAAAGAGCATACTGACGGTTACTTAGGCTAAGTTCCGTTTCACGCATATGCGCACATGTATTTATAGTACACGTTACGTATAGTATAAATGCGCGCATATGCGTGAAACGGAATGCAGCTTTAGCGGCCACTTCCCCCTCTCTTTTCCTCAAACTGAATGTTTGTAGTGTATCTTTTCTGTGTCAATATTTTCTTCATTATCATTGCGAATAGATCATGTATTCTTTGTAATTTTTTTATGTAGAAACACTAAAGATCCCATAGTGGATCAAAACGTTTGTTAACAATTTTTTTAAATCCTCAAATTAAAGAATTTTACCCGAACATCAGGTGTTAGCTTGTTATTGCCTTCTCCCTATCTTTTCATTAAAACTAATATTAGTATAGTACCTTTTTAAATTTTTAATATTTCCATTAGATGATTGCATAGAACAATCAGAAGTGATTTCAAGTTTTGAAACTGACATACTCTCATAGTTCAGACTTTTATGTATGTCTTCCTCTGACACTTCGTTACACTGTGCTTGAATCACAGAATCTTCAGATCTAAGAAACACAAAAATTACTAATTTTTATCTCAATGAAGTTTTACAACAAATTGAAATATATATTTGTTGTAATAGTGAATACAATGTATTACCTTTTTAAATTTCTACTATTTTCATTAGATTGCATAGAACAACCAGGAGAGATTTCAAGTTTTTTTACTGGCACACTCTCAAAGTTTGGATTTTCATGTATGTTCTCTTCTGACATTTTATACTGCACAGAATCTTCAGATCTAAGAAATCAAGATTAATTAATAACTTCTATTTCAAAAAAGTTCTACAACAATAAAGTAACACTTTAACTTATATTTAAATGTATTTAATATGATACTTACATTTCATCATCTTCAAATACAGTATTTATATCACAAATATTTAACCGTGGAACAGTCCCTTTTTTTAGAAGTGGCATTTTACAGAAATCTCTATAATCTTCAGGTAGAAAGTGTTTACTACACACAACAATTGTTTTACTATTCTTTTTTCCTAATATCTGCAGCCATTGTGTTTGTGTCTCTGGATCTTTTGGTACACTGTACAGACAGATATTTATTTAATATTAGAAAATAGTATAAACATTACATTACCTTTGTAACAATTTCTTACCGATGAAAAATAAGGTTAGGACTTGCTGCCGATTGTTCAGTACGACACACACAACACGATTTCACCATTTTCTTACACTTGAGAACACTGATACTAAAAGCATCCGAAAGGTAATGCCGGTAACGCGGCTTGCGGCCAGTGCAGATATGACCGGAACTCTCCAAAACTACGTCCCTAGTCGTCTATTTTATTTTAAAATTCTTTACCACGGTCGCCAGTCGGTTTTGTCTACACCACCGACAAGATTTTTGGCATTCTATGTCGTGTTCTTGTTTTTTGTTTCATTATCCTTTAAAGTGTACATTTAAAGCAAAGACTGGCCGGTGCCTAAACAGTTAAAGGGGCACGGTGCCATAAGTGCAAAGAAGATTTAAAGTGTACTTGGTTTTTGCTCCTCACGTGCAGGGGCGTGCGCCATATATGCATTTAAAATGTACTCACGTAAAACCCTTTTGTAAATAGACGGGCCACAGATTTCTATATACTACACTAGACCCAAGATGTAAATATACCAGGTGTATCATTCCCGTGAATGCGCAGTGGTTCAAGTAATGGCCGCTCTCCGAACCAATCAAAAATTTGCCCCAAATTTTAAAACTAGCGTAGTCACTAGCAGTGTTACAAGATAGGACAGGTTAGAACAGTGTAT